TCCCAAAATAGAATGCAGTTAACCTTTCTACAACTGCCCTTCAGACCAATTCCCCTATTTACATTGATACCAGAAGTTGATCTTTTACCTTCCCTTACATCCCTGGACATCACTCCCCTTAGTTCTCAAGTTACAATTCCTCTTTTGGCTGAAGTTTGTTAAAATGTCAATCTTACAGAACAGAATGAGGGGCAAAACTGTATATGTATAATTAGCTATGAAGTGAAAGACAAATAATTAATTGTGTGTGCTTAACCTATATTTCAGTTTGAAGAAAACTTGAACTGATGGATCTAGAACCGGAGTATACTGTCTCAAAGGGTTGCGAATCTTTAGAATTGTCCTGGAAAACTCAGTCACTAAGTGTTTTCAAGACTAAGATCAATTAATTTCTATATGTTAAAAGCATCAAACATATGTGAATTGTGTAGGAAAATGCTGTTGAAGAAGAACATCGGCCATGATCTCGCTTAATGACCCACTTTTGCTCTTATGTAGGTATTCTGAAATGCAAATAGCAACAGGTAAAAACTGGTTAACAAGGTTGATAGTGATTAAATCCTGGAGGGGTAGTGAGACAAATCATTGTATTTAATATGTAGTTAAATAACATGACTAGGTGAAATTGTAACTTACATGAAGAATGAGCTAGGTTTGTTAAATGGCTTCTTTTCCCATTTATACTTCATTTTGTGATATTAATATTGTGATTAAAATATTCAAAATGAATCTAAATGTCTTCATAGGATATGAAATGATTTGCTGGGGTCATACATGGAATATCAATAGAAGTGTTTACAGGAAAGTCTTTCTTGGCTAAGGTTAATGGAGAAAATGCTGGAAATTGAAAGATGCTGGAAAGATACATTGTTGCTGGCAAAATTCTGATGGGCTAAATAGCTCGTATGTGAAGTTTCATCATTTGTTTTCTGCAATGTTAAATGAATGTTATAATTAACTTTTTGAAGAACATTTCAACATTGGACAAAATAGAAGAGGAAACCAATTGATAAATGCTGTATTCAAGCCTTAATCAAGAGGGTAGCTGGTGTTATGGCTTAATTTGTAGTGCATATTGACTCCTTTAAACACTTGCCCACTATTCCTTGGATGCAACAGAATGATATTATGCTGTTTTCATACTTAAGTTTCTAGATCTCCAAGTGTCAATCTTTTCATTTCTGTCTTTATACACCAAATTCTATTTGAGGAATTGTGGGCAAGTGTTTAAAGCAGTAAATGGGAACTATTGATTGAGCCATAAAACCACCTACCCTCTTGACTAAGGTACTGCTTAAAAACTAATTCTTTAACCAAGCTTTTGGTTGCTGCTCTCAAGGGGTTTAGAGTTTTAGCTAGTTAAATGATATGTTGATGGTTCATAATTGTTTGACATCCATTCTTCTTTGACTCTCTAAAAGTGCCTTTTAACCTTTGCCCACACTAGAGAAGCTGTAGCTTTGCAAGTTGGTTGCCTTAGAATATTTCAGTGGAATGAAGATTTGGCTGGATTATTCTCCAGGCATCAAAAGTAAAATTCAACTCCTGGGTCTCATTGGTTATAGGCAAGTGGTAATCTAAAAGTAGTGGTCACCTTCTATGTTTTCTTGTACTCCTTTTCATCCCTTTTAATTGCTTCTTCATATTCCAGGGAAGTTAATTAGCTTATTTTAGATTTGCAGCTTTGAACAGTGATTACATAAAATTACCTACTGTTTATAGCACTGAGGCTATCTATTGTTTATACTTGAGTCTTCTTCTATTTTAATGACTTATTTCTGTACTGTCATATAGCCTCGTTTATGCATCAGTGTGGGAACAGGCCATTCAGCCCAACAAGTACATACCACCCTCTGAACAGCATCCCACCCATACCTTTTCCCTGTAACCCTGCATTTTCCATGTCTAGTCTAATCTATCTACCCTGTACACTACAGGCAATTTAGCATGGCCAATTCACCTATCCTACACATCTTTGGACTGTGGGAGGAAACCGGAGCACTCAGTGGAAACCCATACAGACACAGGGAGAATGTGCAAACTCCACACACAGCCAGTCACCCGTAAGTGGAATTGAACCTGGGTCCCTGGTGCTGTGAGGCAGCAATACTAAGCACTGAGCCACTGTGCCGTCCTAATGCACCTTCAATGCAGCAATGCTATCCAACAACATTTCCACCATTTTATATGAAGAAATTCCTCAAAATATACATTAATTTATTAGTGACTTTCTTATGTTTATATTATTTCCCACCCCCCCCCAACTCCCAACTATTGTAGAATAGATTCTCTAACAGAGGGTTTGGCAATTTTGTTTAGATTGTATTTTGTAGGTTTGAAGAAGTGATATCTGATCATATGAGAAGATCAGCCCAACCAGACCAGTCAATAATAGCCAGCTATTCCATTTGATTACAAACATGCTATCATTTCAAATGTATCTCATTTTTGTGTTTGGAATTTTTTTATTCCATTAACAGTTAAAGGCCTGGTTAGATGATGTTGGCATCCAGTTCAATACTGAAGCGATCAATTGTTCTTAGTTCTGCTGAAACTCACAACTACGCAGAAAACAACATTAACAAAACCTATTAGCTGTGTTTTTTCTTTGAATGCTTAAGCCCATGCTATGACATAGCTTTTTTTCCTGTTCTGTGCTGCACAATTCAATAATTCAATTGGAAAACCAGCCAATGGGAAGAGAGCATTCATCTTAGTATGTAAACCTTAAGTATGAAATTGAGTCATGGAAATGTAGCCATACCAATGCCCCACTCTGTAAAAGGCCATGCCATGACACAAAAAGAAAAACAAAAGTGGCATCCAAAAAAATGCTTCCTCTTTCTGCAAACTTGAAAATTAATTACCGAATAAGACATACATTGCACAGAGACATTACCACTGAACCACAACAGCCCCATAAAGGTAACTCCAGTAATTATAGGCCAGTCAGTCTGACCTTGTGAAAGCTTTTAGCTATTTTCCAATCAACCAGTGAAACTGCCACAGCATCACAAGACCCCTCAAAACAATGTTTCTGGTGGCATTTACATAAATGACACTAGCTGGTAATAGAAGTGCTGCTGTGCAAGCTGGATTGGTGCACCACTGTGGAACCTGCTTGTTATGGCTGCATGTTTGCTAACCATATCTTCTTTCCGGGGATTGGCAGCAATTTTCAGATCATTGCAGAACATTTGGCAAACTCATCAAAACATCTTCCACAAATATATTAAGCCAGAGAATATTGGGTCATGTTTCCTGTCTAATGGCATCCTGTCAATGGTAAAATATGTGCAGTTTCTGTTTGTTGTTGCAATTTGATTGTTGTGAAGGGCAGTGATTTCAGTGACTAGTGGCCATTATTGTGATGCTCAGTGAGACACAGTAAACGTTACGGCAAGGGTCAGTGAGACACAGTAAACATTACAGTGAGGGTCAGTGAGACACAGTAAACATTACAGTGAGGGTCAGTGAGACACCGTAAATATTACAGTGAGGGTCAGTGAGACACAGTGAGAGATGGCAATTATGGTGATGGCAGTAAGGCATGATGACCATTACTGTGGTGCTGATCAATCCATGGTGATCAATATGGTATTGGCAATGAGATACAGTGACTATTTATAGTGAGGGGTCTATGCCTTAGGTGACTGTGTCTGTATGGAGTTTGCACATTCTCTCCATGTTTCCATGGGTTTTGCTGGGTGCTCCGGTTTCCTTCCATTGCCCAAAGCTGTGCAGATCATAGAGTCATAGAGATATACAGTACAGAAACAGACCCTCCGGTCCAGCTTGTCCAAGCCGACCAGCTATCCTAAATAAATCTAGTCCTATTTGCCAGCATTTGGCCCATATCCCTCATATCCTATTCATATCATAATCCAGATGCCTTTTAAATGTTGTAATTGTATCAGCTTCTACCGTTTCCTCTGCCAGCCAATTACATACATGCATCACCCTCTGCGTGAAAAAGGATGCTTTTAAATCTTTCCCCTCTCACCTTAAACCTATGCCCTCTAGTTTTGGACTGCCCCACCCTTAAGAAAAGACCTTGTCTATTTACCCTAAGCATGCCCATTATGATTTTATAAATCCCTATAAGGTCACCCCTCAGCCTGACGCTTCAGGGAAAATAGCCCCAGTCTGTTCTGCCTATCCCTACATCTCAAAACCTCCAACCCTGGCAACAGCCTTGTCAATCTTTTCTGAACCCTTTCAAGCTTCACAACATCCTTCCTATAGCAAGGAGACTAGAATTGCATGCAGTATTCCAACAAAGGCGTAACTAATGTCATGTAGAGCTGCAAAATGACCCCCCAACTCCTCTGCTCAATGACTTGAACACACATACAAGCAGCTTCAGGAACAGCTTCTTTCCAGCTGTATTATGCTGTTGAATGGACTCTAGCCTCAAATAATGTAATCTGCATTGTTCTAAGTCTTTTTGATCTGTACATTCTTTGCTTGCTGTGATTTGCCTCTACTGCTTCTAGACAAAGCTTTTCACTATATTTTGGTGCATGTGATAATAAAATCAATCAATCAGTAAGCATGGATTTACCATGCTAAATTGCCCTGAAATGTTCAGGGATGGGTAGACTAGGTGGATTGGCAATGATAAATGCAGGATTTACATGGACAGGGTTGGTCTGGGTGGAATGCCCTTTGGAGGGTCGATGTAGACCCAATGGGGAGATTCTATGATGAATGAACCCTGACTGTGGCTCATGAGCCTGTGACCATTTCAGTGAAGCACAGTGGCAGGTGACCAATCTGGTGAGGACAATGAAGCATGTTAACCATTACAGTGCGGGGGTCATTGACCCTTGGTCATCGGTAACTATTGTGGTGATGCTCACTGCGCCAGGGTGACCGGTGACCATAATTGTGAGGGGCACCTTGCCGGCCACGTCCAGTTGCTTGTGGACATGCCCCGCACCATGATGGCGTCGTTTCCTGCGGTCCCGAGTCACGTGCTTCCGGTCGGTGGGCCGGGAGAAGGTAGGGCGGTTGGAATTGAAGATGGCGGCGCGGAGCCAGGGCGCAGCCGGCAGCAGGCACTGCCACTCCCGCCTCCTCCTGGCCGTCTTCCTGAGCACTCTGAGGGGGTCGCTGGGCACGACGCACTGGATTGTGACCGAGGACGGAAAGATTCAGCAGCAGGTACGGGCCGGGAGGTGGGGCAGATGGTGTGTGAGGGGAATGAGTGTCTCTGTGATTTATCTGTTCTCTCCTCCCCAACACACACACACACACACACACACAGAGAGACACAGACATGGCTGGGCTGCTGCTGAAACAAGCGTAGTCGGTGCTGGCAAAGTTTGTGTGTATTTTATTTGACGACGCGGGCCTGGGCAGGGACTATGGAGGTGAGAGGCCATTTCGCAATGCCACCTGTGCCGTGCTTTGCTCGTTTCTGTCCTCCCTGCCCACTGGGCGGGTTCACTTGCTGATCGAAGCCAGTGGTTAAAACGCTCCTGATTCCTTTCCGACCTCAGTTAGCGAGTGACTCCGGCTTCCTCTGTGCCCACCCCGTGACTCAAGAGCAGGTTGGCATGGGCGCCCACAGAACTGGTCCTTCCTTCGTCTTAATAAAAACCGAAGAACTGCGGGTGCTGTAAAACTAAAGCAGAGATTGCCGGAAAAGCTCAGCAGGCCTGGCAGCTTCTGTGAAGAGAAATCAGGATTAACGTTTTGGGTCAAGTGACCCTTCCTCAGAATTTTGTTTTTTTTCTCCTTCATCTTGTCCACTTCTGGGCATGTCAAATACAATGTGCCACTGCTCAATTCCAAGTCTACACTGTATGCTGCCTAGAAGCACTCAGGGAGCTGATGCATAGTAACACGAGGGTTCACCCCCAAGCTACATGCCCAACTTGGAAATATATCATCTTGTCACTGTTGCCAGGGCAAATTGGGACTTACTTCCTCCAGCACCATGGATATACCTGCTGCATAAAGACTGTAACAATTCAGGATGGTTCATCACCATGTTCTAGGACCTTTTGAGATGGGATTTGCCATGGTTGTCCCTCGCTGTGTCAAACCCCAAATTTCAGCTTGTCACCACATTAGTTGCAGTGATTTCCCCAGGGAGGTGATCTGCCATGTTAGAGCTATTTCGAGTGGTCATTGTAACATTTCTGTTTAGCACCTTGATGTCGTTTGCCTTGAGTGATTCTTTGAGGGAGACGTAGCCTGCTCACCTAAGTACTGTGTCTTGGAGGATGGCATCTTTTCATGAGCCTAGCATGACAAAGGACCACATTACTCAAGAGTTACTGCTTACTTATCAATGATTCATATCAAAAGTAATTCAAGTTTATGAATTTACTTTGGATAGATAAAGAGACACTCACTTTTTGCTTGTGTTATCTTCCGGACAATGGCTGAATCTCTGGATTCTATTGATCAAAATGTTGCATTGGTACTTTTGGTTTCAGAAAGCCATGATGCAATTAAAACTATAACAGCCATTATTCATGCATTGTGCCCCAGAATGCTATTCTTTAAAAAGAAAATTACAGTCTACATTTGTGTTTAGTTTAATATCAAGTGACATAGATGCAGAAGTAGACCATTCAGCCCATCGGGTCTTCTCTGCTATTCAGTGAGATTATGGCTAGTTTGACAGTCTTCAACTCTACCTTCCTGCCTTTTTCCCATAACTTCTGATTAAAGATCTCTCTATTTAGCCTTGACGATACTTAACCGCCCAACCTCTACTGCTGTCTGAGGTGAAGAACTCCACAGATTCACTACCCTCAGAGAAGAAATTCTGCCTCGTTTGTTTTCAGTAGATGACCCTTTTTCTGAGGTTATGCCTTCTGGTCCTATGCTATCCCAAAAGAGGCAACAACCTTTCTACATCTACCCTGTCAAGTTCCCAAAGAAGTAGTTTAATAGGATTTAACAATTTCTATATGTAAATATAAAATCTGGGTTAGAGGTGCTTCAATAAATTTATCCAGGCTTGGCATACATAATTTATGGTAGTCAGAAAAAAATGCTTGACAAGTATCTGCTTTTACATAAGAGTAACTGACCCTCTAAGAGTCAGTATTAATTCTGATGCATGTTATATATGTTTGACGTATTTTAACTGAAGTATGGAAGTTGTACGGTAAATGTGATTTGATACATCTTGGAAGAAGTGGATCTTGGGTGCCTGTCCACACATCCCTGAAGACAAGAAGACTGGTTAATAGAGTAGTTAAGAAGATATATGAGACACTTGTCATTATCAGTCATGAGAACAAGGAAGTTATGTTGGAACTGTACAGAACTTTGGTTAGGCCACGACTGGAGTTCTGTGTGCATTTCTGGTCACAGTTCAAAAGGAAGGATGTGATTGCACTAGAGGGAGTTTAGAGGAGATTCACAGGGTGCTGCCTGGAATGGAACAGTTTTAGATATGAAGGAAGGCTGGACAAGCTCGGGTTGTTGTCTTTTGGAGCAGAGAAGGCTGAGAGAGGACCCGATTGAGGGGCATGGATAGGCTAGATAGAGAGCAGCTGTTCCCCTTAGTTAGAGGATCAGTAGCAAGGTGACATAATTCTCAGTGGAAAGGCAGGACGTTTAGAAGGGATTTGGAGAAAATTTTTTTCACCCGTAGAGTGTCGGAAATCTGGAATTCACTGTCTGGGAGGGTAGCTGAGGCAGGAAACCTTAATCTTTTAAAAAGTACTTGGATGAGAACTTGAAATGCTATAACATTCAAGACTATAGGCCAAATACTGGAAAGTGGGACTACTGTAGATTTAGAGTTAACAAGGTGTAGAGCTGGATGAACACATCGGGCCGAGCAGGAAAGCTGACGTTTCGGGTCTGGACCCATCTTCAGAAAAAGAAGTGTCCAGACCCGAAACCTCAGCTTTCCTGCTCCTCTGATGCTGCTTGGCTTGCTGTGTTCATCCAGCTCTAGACCTTGTTATCTCAGATTCTCCAGCATCGGCAGTTCCCACTATCTCTGTAGATTTAGGGTGTTTTTTTGTCGATGCCAACTTGATGGACCAAAGCACCTCTTCTGTACTGTGTGATTCTAAGAAATGGATTGACTTTAATCTGATCTATTAATAATATGCTTGTTTTTGTGTTGGAAAATCAGATACATGCCAACAAGTTTTATGTGTGGGCTAGTGATTAGAATACAATGCTAGAAGTTGTTGGAAGTGTCACATGTAGATATCTTTTTGATACTTTAATACTATAGCATTTAGATTTTCTGTGACAGGTTGACCTTCGTTATAGAGATCAATTAGCAGAAAAAAGCACTGAAGCATTTCAATTTCTTTCCCAGTACCTCTGCATAGACAAAAGAATAGCTCAAATTGGAAAATAATTTTCGTACGGTATCAACCAAGGAGCAATATAAAATTGGCCCAACTGCTTTTTCCTTCATCTTTCAAGACTGTCAGTTTCTTAAACTCAGTTTCCTAAAACCTTTCTGAAAATTGCTGAGTTGCTCCTGGAAAAAATAGTAAATAATTGTTACAATTTGATTTGGCATGGGGCAGTTTCAGATGTTTTCATCATTTAACACAACATAAGACCTAGGGTTAGTGACAAATTCACAAATTTCTGCATGTTGAGATATGAACCTTTTATTGTAGAGGGAAATTTAATCAATCAAAAGTGCCATAGTTTCATCTTTTAATGGAACTGATGGCGTCCATGGGAGCGCTTTTTGATTGCACACTTCTATAATATTGTATGTAAACTAGCAACCTTCGTGATCTGTGATTGATAACCTTGCAAGTTTGACAAAACTGAGCTGTGCCCATTGATTAACTTAAATCCTGGTGAGGTAACATCAGCATCATTGCTTGGGCGGTAACCTGACACACTGAGTCACTACTTGTTAAATCCACTTTTCATTCCACAGTGGAGTCAAAATGAAGAAGCCTCAAAAATTGGTGACACATCTGTTTCACCAGATTACCACCCAGACAGTAAAGCTAAAACAGCTCTTTGTGCCAAAACATTCTGGCCCTTATTCACAACTACTCAGTACATTAAAATATTACGAGCCACTTGAAGTTATAAGAAATCGAATATTTTATCTGTACCTTTGCATTATTGAAGTCATCTGATTTTAACCTGAAATAAATTGAATTAATTGTTTGCTTTTACACTTAAAAGGACTAAAAGAAAATACTCAATTTGGATCTTTTCCTGCTGTCTTTTATTGTAAGTTTCCCCACTCTTAACAGAATTATTCATAACTTGCATTTTTAAACTGATTTTTCAGCCAGTGTTTAAGTGGGTTGAATTCTAATTACGTTCGGAAATATGTGCTGCAGATTTACAGTTCATGTCTAAATTTAAATGTAAGATAGGGGCAGCATGGCGGCTCAGTAGTTAGCACTGCTGCCTCACAGTGCCAGGGACCAGGGTTCGATTCCACTCTCGGGTGACTGTGTGGAGTTTGCACGTTCTCACTGAGTGGGTTTCTTTTGGGTGCTCCAGTTTCCTCCTACAGTCCAAAGATGTGCAGGTTAGGTGGGATTAGCTGTACTAAATTGCCCATGGTGTCCAGGACTGTGCAGGCTAGCTGGATTAGCTGTGGGAAATGCAGGATTACAGAGATAAATTAGGAGGTGGGCCTGGGTGGGGTGCTCTTCAGAGAGTCACTGTGGAGTGGATGGCCCAAATGGCCTGCTTCCACACTGTAGGGATTCTGTGATTCAACAAAGGTCATTTAAATTTACGTAATGCGCAGTGCAATGCTGATACATTCAGAGTTAAGTAACAATAAGATCCAGCCCTAATTTCAATCTGACAAAATGACTAAGTACACAAATGTGGCTGGCACAGCATCTTTATCTGCATGATCAATGGCTTGAACTTTCTAATAGTATGCCTTTTTGTGTCGGTTAACTTTAGCTTCTCGATGTCTGAACGTACCACACGGAAAACTTAATGGGTGCTCAACCTTTTTATGCAAAATTTAATACAATGAATGTTTAGTTGAATTGAGTTACCTAAATTAGTTTTGCAAAGCAGGGAAATTGACTTTACTTTGCATTCTAGTGCCAAGTTTTAAATTTTTAATATTTATGAAACTTCTTGGTAAGTTTGCTGATGCAGGACCTTTACACAACCATTAACAGAGAATTCAACTCTTTTGTTTGAACAAACCAGGCTCTATGCGCAACAAT